CCCTCTTCGCCGATGACATGATACTCTACATAGAAAACCCAAAAGACTCCACCCCAAGATTGCTAGAACTCATACAGCAAATTGGCAGTGTGGCAAGATACAAAATCAATGCCCAGAAGTCAGTGGCATTTCTATACACTGAGACTGAAGAAAGAGAAATTAAGGAGTCAATCCCATTTACAATTGCACCCAAAAGCATAAGATACCAAGGAATAAACCTAACCAAAGACGTAAAGGATCTATACCCTAAAAACTACAGAACACTTCTGAAAGAAATTGAGGAAGACACAAAGAGATGGAAAAATATTCCATGCTCATGGATTGGCAGAATTAATATTGTCAAAATGTCAATGTTACCCAGGGCAATTTACACATTTAATGCAATCCCTATCAAAATACCATAGACTTTCTTCAGAGAGTTGGAACAAATCCTGTTAAGATTTGTGTGGAATCAGAAAAGACCCCGAATAGCCAGGGGGAATTTTAAAAAAGAAAAGCATAGCTGGGGGCATCACAATGCCAGATTTCAGGTTGTACTACAAAGCTGTGGTCATCAAGACAGTGTGGTACTGGCACAAAAACAGACACATAGATCAATGGAACAGAATAGAGAATCCAGAAGTGGACCCTCAACTTTATGGTCAACTAATATTTGACAAAGGAGGAAAGACTATCCACTGGAATAAAGACAGTCTCTTCAATAAATGGTGCTGGGAAAATTGGACATCCACATGCAGAAGAATGAAACTAGACCACTCTCTTATACCATACACAAAGATAAACTCAAAATGGATGAAAGATCTAAATGTGAGACAAGATTCCATCAAAATCCTAGAGGAGAACACAGGCAACACCCTTTTTGAACTTGGCCACAGTAACTTCTTGCAAGATATATCCATGAAGGCAAAAGAAACAAAAGCAAAAATGAACTATTGGGACTTCCATCAAGATAAGAAGCTTTTGCACAGCAAAAGAAACAGTCAACAAAACTACAAGACAACCTACAGAGTGGGAGAAGATATTTGCAAATGACCTATTAGGTAATGGGTTAGTTTCCAAGATCTATAAAGAACTTATTCAACTCAACAGAAAAGAAACAATCCAATCATGAAATGGGCAAAAGACATGAACAGAAATCTCACAGAGGAAGACATAGATATGGCCAAAACGCACATGAGAAAATGCTCCGCATCATTTGCCATCAGGGAAATACAAATCAAAACCACAATGAGATACCACCTCACACCAGTGAGAATGGGGAAAATGAACAAGGCAGGAAACCACAAATGTTAGAGAGGATGTGGAGAAAGGGGAACCCTCTTGCACTGTTGGTGGGAATGTGAACTGGTAGAGCCACTGTGGAAAACTGTGGAGGTTCCTCAAAGAGTAAAAAATCGATCTGCTCTGTGACCCAGCAGTTGCACTGCTGGGGATTTACCTCAAAGATACAGATGCAATGAAACACTGGGACACTTGCACCCCGATGTTTCTAGCAGCAATGTCCACAATAGCCAAACTGTGGAAGGAGCCTCGGTGTCCATCGAAAGATGAATGGATAAAGAAGATGTGGTTTGGGATCCCTGAGTGGCGCAGCGGTTTAGCGCCTGCCTTTGGCCCAGGGCGCGATCCTGGAGACCCGGGATCGAATCCCACATCGGGCTCCCGGTGCATGGAGCCTGCTTCTCCCTCTGCCTATGTCTCTGCCTCTCTCTCTCTCTCTCTCTCTCTCTCTGTGACTATCATAAATAAATAAAAAATTAAAAAAAAGATATTTATAAAAAAAGATGTGGTTTATGTATACAATGGAATATTACTCAGCCATTAGAATCGACAAATACCCAACATTTTCTTAGACGTGGATGGAACTGGAGGGTATTATGGTGAGTGAAATAAGTCAATCGGAGAAAGACAAACATTATATGGTCTCATTCATTTGGGGAATATAAAAAATAGTAAAAGGGAATAAAGGGGAAAGGAGAAAAATGAGTGGGAAATATCAGAAAGGGAGACAGAACATGAGAGATTCCTAATTCTTGGAAACGATCTAGGGGTGGTGGAAGGGGAGGTGGGCAGGGGGTGGAGGTGACTGGCCGACAGGCACTGAGGGGGGCACTTGATGGGATGAGCACTGGGTGTTATGCTATATGTTGGCAAATTGAACACCAATAAAAAATAAATTTATATAAAAAAATTAAAAGGGGAAAAAAAGAAGGGGGCAGGGAGGCCTATCAGGAAGGGGTGGTGCGTGTCTGTGTGGAAGAGCAGAGATGGGCGGTTTTAGGGAAGGGGCAGTGCAAAGCAGTACTGCAGTGGGAGCCAGCTGGTGTTGGGGGAAGCGCTGGATCGAAATACGTTGCAGTTAGGAAGAGTGGGTCAAGGGCTTGTCCGAGCTGCTCTGCTGCTCTGAGAGCAGAGGCGTCTGTGGGATTGAGATTATCAGCCTTTCCGGACCACCAAAGCTCATTTACTCCAGCTGGCACGCATGCGCACTATTAAGCTGCAGTATGGAGCGTGTCTAAAATGAAGGGGTGGGGTTGTAGAACTGCCTTGTGGTATCACAGAGGCAAAGGAGCTAGGGTTTGGATAGGTGGTCTGGGTTTCTAGGTATGAGAACCCAATAGTTGAAGGGTTTGGGGGCCAAAGCTGGATAAGCTCCCTCTTCCCTCAGGATAAACGAGAGGTCTGGTGAATCTCCCTCTCCTCATTCTCCCCTAACTCAGGCCCCTTCCCCTCAGGCTTAGTTGTTACTCGGCCTTTCAGAAAAATGGATAGGAGAAATGACCGCAATTATAGGATTCTCCCATTCCAAGTGAGGCATCTCTGTATTCTCACCAGGCCATCTGCCCAGTCCTGAGTTCATTTACTGGTCTTGAGCCCCTTACTACTCTGTAGTTGAAGAATTTCCTAGCCTATCCTGTATCAGTCTTTCCCTGCAAGATGAAGGAGGAGAGAAAAACCTGTCTGACTTTATCTTCTGCTCCCTCCCTTTTCCTCTATCCCCCCCTTCAATCACTGCACAGAGGAAGAAGAGGCCTTTGTGGAAAGGGTACACTGTAGGGAGGCCAGATGGTTCAGCAGATCATAATTCTAAGTGTGTAGGGCCTCCTTCTTTCCCCCTGGGAGCCTGGGGCTTCACTTCCCTCCAGATATACAGATTGAGACCACAGAAGAGGACAGTGTCTTGCTGATGCAATACCCTCTTGGCGGCAACCAAGGACTCTCTGGCCATGGACCTACCAGTTGCTGACCCGCCTAAGAAAAGCAAGATCAAGAATGCTCCCATTAAGTCTGTTACAAAGACCTTACGTGCTGCCCATACGGTCTCATCTGCCAATGTGATTGCCACTAACAAGCCTAAAGTAACTTTGCAGTCTTTATTTATTATTATTTTTTAGTTTCTTTTTTTATAAATTTATTTTTTATTGGTGTTCAATTTGCCAACATATAGAATAACACCCAGTGCTCATCCCGTCAGGTGCCCACCTCAGTGCCCGTCACCCAGTCACCCCCACCTCCCGCCCACCTCCCCTTCCACCACCCCTAGTTCGTTTCCCAGAGTTAGGAGTCTCTCATGTTCTGTCTCCCTTTCTGATATTTCCCACTTATTTTCTCTCCTTTCCCCTTTATTCCCTTTCATTATTATTTATATTCCCCAAATGAATGAGACCATATAATGTTTGTCCTCCGATTGACTTATTTCACTCAGCATAATACCCTCCAGTTCCATTCACGTCGAAGCAAATGGTGGGTATCTGTCGTTTCTAATGGCTGAGTAATATTCCATTGTATACATAAACCAATGAAACGCCGGGACACCTGTACCCCGATGTTTATAGCAGCAATGTCCACAATAGCCAAACTGTGGAAGGAGCCTCGGTGTCCATCGAAAGATGAATGGATAAATTTTGCAGTCTTTAAATCTGCCTATCATCCCCCAGATCAACCAGGCTTCAGCTACCAATGAAGCAGCCAATACTCAGGCTTCTGTAGTCACTGCTCAGCCTAAGAAAGCCAGTAAGACAAAGAGAATTACTGCTAAGACAACCCAAAGCTCCCAATCTCCAACTGGTAAGCAGAGTGTCACTATACAGATCAAGCCACTCTTGCAGGCTCTATACCAGACATCCTGCAGGCTATCCAGGTTTCAGTTACCAGTGGGTCAGCCAACTCCCAGGTCTTGACAGCCTCCACTAAGCCTATGGAAGTTTCCAAAGCTAAGAAGGCTGCTGATAAGGCCATAACTAGTACTATTGATATCTCATTGGCTCCAACCACCACCCACTCAGCTACCACCCAAGGCCAACTTACTAATGAGGCAGCCACTACCCATGCCACAGCAGCTGGCAACAGATCTAATAAAACCTCCAAAGTGAAGAAGGCAAGTGTTAAATACTGACACTGAACTCCTAGAGGCCCCAAATACCAAGACAGCTACCAGGCAGACTGAGGCCTCAGCAGCAGCTATCTGGCCCCCAAAATTCAGGGGTAAGAAGGCTGCCAATAGAAGCCCAAATTCTGCCTATGAGGTCTCTCAGGCTCCATCTGCTGCTCAAATGGTCACAAACCAAGCCCTAGCAGCCACCTTTCAGGTCAAGAGAGGGTCCAGGGCTCATATGTCTGCCACTAAAGCACAGACAGCCGAAAGTCAGACTAAAATTGTTGACCAACGGGCCCAGGCCAAGATGGCCACTTTTAAGACCAACATAAGTGCTCTTGAGACTCAGGTTGCTGCTGCTTTCCAGGCCCTGGCAGATGACTCCCTGGCCCAGTTGAGTCTCTACAACCAGGACCCAGGGCAAGAGGAACCAAAAGGTGAGATCTCTGACATCACCATTCTTAACTCTTCACTTCTTTTCCATTCCTATGCTCCTGGTTTGTTCATTTGTTCTATATAAGTGTATTGAGACTTTTTGCTCTGAGCCAATCCCTCTGTTTGGATAGGCTATGAGAGTTGCTGAGAAGAACATGATATAGTTCCTGCTCCCTGACAATCCATGGATTGGTGGGGAAATAATACATCCATACACTTAGCTACAACCTGGATATAATTCAACTTGTATTTACATAGTAGTTACCACGTGCTATGTTTTCTCTTGGGTAGTCATACAGGTGTGTCTTTATTTTTTGAAAGTAACTCCTACTATCTAGGGATCATAGATCCCAGTTTTATAGATGAAAAAACTGAGTCCCAGAGAGATGAAGTTATTTGTCCAAGGTATACAGCTAGCAAAATCAGTGGTGGCCAAAATAAGAGGAGGAACCCTGGGTCCTGCCCTTGGGTTGCTTTTGTCCTGAAAGGGAAATGAAACTCCTGGCTAGAAGATAGTGAAGACAAATCTAGGACTCAGGGTGGCCAGTTGGACGGTCAGAACCCACTATAGGAAGGGTTTGGGAGATTTTCAGGAGATGGTAGGGTAGGGAGACAGAACCTTTCATCTGGTGACTCTAGACCTTCCTTCTTTTTGATGATGTAGTCAAAGCATCTGAATGGAGATGAGAGAGGTGGCAGTAATTACAGGTTGATCCCATGGGGCTGGAGGCCTCTGCCAGCCTGAAACGTGGCCATTTTGCAAGAAAGGGTAAGAATCCAATTCTGGCAAGTCTCTTTTCTTCTTTACCTTCCCTCTTTTCTGTCATTCTTCCAAGTTTTCTAAAAACATATTGAGTTCTCCCCATGTATTCCTCTTCTCCCAGGCAAATAAGTTGGTGAAATACCTGTTGGTTAAGGACCAAAGATCCCCATCAAGCGCTCAGGTAGAGTCATACCAACTCTCTTCCCTGAAATCTCCTCTCCACTCCCCTCCCTCCTCTGCTCTGGGGTAACCATTTACTTTTATAGCCTTTTTGTTCTCTCATATATCCTCCCTTACTCTTCACATTCTGATATGGCTGGCATCTCCCATTAACACAGTTCAGGACTCAGACTGCACTGACCCCACAAGCTGGCAAAAGGGCTGCAGTTCTGTGGCCCCCGCACAGCCTGGCTGCTCCCACCTCTCCCTTCCTACAGACATGCTGAAGGATGTCATCCAAGAATATGATGAATATTTCTCAGAGATCATTGAACGAGCAAGCTACGCTCTGGAGAAGGTGAAGGGGCAGCCCTGGGGGATGGGCACAATGGGGAAGCCTTGACTCAACAAAGACATACATGACCCTTCTGGGATAGATCAGAGACTTTCTTTTTTTTAATAAATTTATTTTTTATTGGTGTTCAATTTGTCAACATACAGAATAACATCCAGTGCTCATCCCGTCAAGTGCCCACCTCAGTGCCCACCATCCAGTCACCCCCCCACCTCCCCTTCCACCACCCCTAGTTCATTTCCCAGAGTTAGGAGTCTTTCATGTTCTGTCTCCCTTTCTGATATTTCCCACTTATTTTTTCTCCTTTCCCCTTTATTCCCTTTCACTATTTTTTATATTCCCCAAATGAATGAGACCATATAATTTTCAAAGAGACTTTCTATCCCCATTACTATGCAGTTGGGCAAACAGTGGCATAAGTAGGAACATAGACTAGCCCAGGCTCACACTGAAAGCCAGTGGTAAAACACAGCTAGGACTCAAACCTCCCAAGTTAGTTCTGTCTGATGCTGGATGTGTCCTGTAATGCATTTTAGATGGTCACCTCTCTATTTCACTCTCCATTCTCTATCTCCCTAGATTCCCACTAATTACAAAGGTGATGCTGATAATAGTAAATTTCTTACCTGTTTTCTGTAGTGGTGACCACTTAGCTAAGTGCTTTACCTGCATTATCTCACTGATTTCTCATATACACTCAAAACTCTAGCTACACAGGGAACTATGGGATGCTCAGGAAGCTCTCTGATGCCTAGGTTGAATTTTGTGATCTCACAGGCTATATTTTTACTTGGCAGATGTTTTGAGTCAATCTGAAAGAAATTGACAAGCAAAGTAGCTTGCATATTCTCATCAGCATTCAGGAATTCTCTGCAGGCATACTGGGAATGTAAGCTGGGAAAGGGCTGGGGTGGGAGGGAGGCTCTGCTTCTGTCTATGGCACTACCCCATCCCTGTCATCTCTCCCCATATCTCCTTGGAGAGGCAGAAAGTCAGGGCCTAAAAAGCCCCTGTTTAAGCTTCATCACATAGTTGGAACCCTGCAGATGGTAGTGGTACTTGATTATGATTGACTAAAGAGTATAGAAGCCTGGAGAAGTGCATTCCTACTGTCTTGTTTTCTGTTTATACAGAAGCTTCCAGGAAAAGCAGACCTGTTGTTGCCTGTCTCTTCCTACTGGCTTTGGTAAAGTGGTTCTTCCTGGTATGGGTGAATCATAATGCTTGAAGGATAGGAGCATCACTGGGGCTGTACCTAGAATTCTCTTGGAGCAGGGGGGTCAGTTTGGGAGAGAAAGAAAGGACTCACATTAGCTGGGTGCCTAGATTGTTCCAGGTTGATAGGCATTCTTCTATCCTTTTGGCAACCTGGACAGAGGAGCATTGGATTTTGCCATTCTACTTAACAGGAGACTGAGACTCAAGAGTCTAAGTGCCTTGCTCAGTGTCACATAGACCTTGAAGTATAGACTGGGAAGAATTCTGTCATGTGTGAGGAATCTGGGAGAGGGTAGCCTAGTGAGCTGGCTGATATGTTTTTTGCAGATGGCTGCTGGACATAAATCTTCTCTCTACCCTGTTATTTCCCTAGGGCTAAGGATTCGCCAAAGCTAGGTCTCCTCATGGTGCTTCTTAGCATCATCTTTATGAATGGAAATCGGTCCAGTGGGGGCGAGTGACTGGGCATGTAGCTGAATGGGTGGCCACAGTTGGAATTCCACATGTTCATTTTCTGTCCCTGTCTCCTCTTGCCTCCCTTTGCAGCTGTCATCTGGGAGGTGCTGCGCAAGCTGGGGCTGCGCCCTGGGTATGATCAGGCTCTCTCAGTGCTTGCTGTCCGTGTTGTTGTTTGGCAAGAGAGGATGGTCCCAGGATTTCATCAGCTTGGTGGTCTGGTGGTGTGGGAACGGGATGCTGGACTGGGTAGAGGGTCCAGGGTTCTGACCTGGGTGGACGGGTAAATGGTCCTGAACTCTCTGCACTTTCCCACCCCTATGTCATTCCAAACTGAGATAGAAGATAGAACTTTAGGGGCATTCCTGACAAAGAACCATCTGGCTTCAACTTACTGTTTCTAGTGACTGTGTGTTCACTACTTTTCTGGCTTCGCTGGGACTGCTATATATGCTAGAGAGGTCTCTTCCATGTTGAGAAATGCCTCTTCCTTCATATGGGAAGTTTTCTTCTCTGTTTATGGGTTATTTTTTCCCATCATCAGGGTGAGGAACTCTCTCTTTGGGGAAATAAGGAAGCTCATCCCAGACAAATTTGTGAAGCAGAAGTAAGTGGCATTTGGAGGCTTTGTCTGGCCCTGAAGTGTTCTGAGTGTGCTGCTCTGGTTCAGAAAGTGCTCAATCAGCTCTTTTATTACACTAGCTTTAGATGCAGTATGGGCATCCTATGCCCTAGAACTGAGTCCTGTCCACAATTCCCATGAGTGGACAGTTCCAGGATTAGGCTAAAGACAAGGCCCTTGCTTTGGGGTGTGCTCAGAGCAGGGTACCTGAAGAATGGCTCCTCTGTTTACAACACACCCAACAGGAATTTGGGCTTACTCCTCACAGGTTTCAAGGTACTTTGGCCTTCCTGTGACATCATGCCCTATACGTGCCTTCTATGAAGCATCAAGTGACAGCCTTGCACAAGTCCAAAAGGAAATAACTCAATATTGGAGACCAATGCAACAAACTGTGTTTGGGAGTGAGTGTAGGGAAGGAGGGTCTTAGAAATCCTTCTGTAGGAGCTTAGTATTTGAAGGGGCTTGCCACCTGGTACCATTGGTTGCACAATAGATTTGTTTGGTTAGAAGCAAGTTTCATTTCCATTCTCCAAGGTACCTGGAGTACAAGAGGGTCCCTAACAGCAGATCACCTGAATATGAATTCTGGGGCTTGCACTCTTACCATGAGACTAGCAAGATGAAAGTCCTCAAGTTTTCATGCAAGGTAATAGGAGAGCTTCCCTGACTTGTAATAGTAAGGATACTGGATGTCCCTTGCTGGGGAAGACTATGTGCAAGGGTGGTCAGGTACAGGGCAGCCTTCAGTTAGTATATAAACATATGGAACTTCACTGATGTCTGAGAATGCTGCTGAACATAAAGTTTACATTGTTTCATTCTTTTTTCATACTTTGTGTTAGTCTTCTTGCATTGTCATAACAAAATACTACAGACTGGGTAACTTAAACAACAGAAATTTATTTTCTCACAGTTTCTGGAGGCTGAAAGCCCCAGATTAAGGTCCAGCAGGATCGGTTTCGGAAGAAACCTCTCCCTCTGGCTTGCAGATGAATGTTTTCCTGCTGTGTTCTCACACAGTAGAGAAAGGGCCTTTTATAAAAACACTAATCTTATTTGACTAGGGCCCCACCATTATGACCTCATTTAACTCTACTTCCATTAAGGCCCAATCTCCAAATATAGTCACATTGGGAGCTGGTACATTAACATATGAGCTTGTGGGGGGACACAAACATTCAATCCATAACATACTCTTTTATCATTTCCCATCTTCTCAGTGAGGTTAAGTAATTTGTCCAAAGTCACACAACACCTTAGTTATCAGAGCTGAAACTGGATCTCAGGACTGACCCATGATAGAGCCTCAGAAAACTAAGAATTAAAAAAAAATACTGCTGCTATTGGTTTTATACAAAGCCCATAGTATGTAATTAATACATAGTTACAAATGTTATTGTCCTTATATTGATTATCATTCCCATTTCAGGTGCAGAAGAAAGACATCAAAGACTGGGCTGCTTAGTACCAGGCGGTAGAGATGGAAGTGCAAGCTGCAGCTGTGGCTGTGGCTGAGGCTGAGGCTGAGGCTGAGGCAAGGGCTGAGGCAAGGGCTGAGGCAAGAGCCCAGATGAGGATTGGAGAAGTAGCTGTGGCTGGGCCCTGGAATTGAGATGACATGGCTATCGACTGCCTAACAAGGGAAGAGTTAGGTGATAATTCTCAGTCCTGGAACAGATTTTCATTTGAAATTGAGACCAGAGCCCAAGAAAATGCTGAAGCCAGCACCAACATCGACTTCAACAGAGGAGCTAGCACCAGGGTTACCTTCAGTGATAATGCTAGCATTAGCTTCAGTGCTACGCCCAGACCCAGTGGTGGCTTTGGTGGCAGAGCTGGCTTTAGCTTTGGTGGCACACCCAGGACCAGTTCCAGCTTCAGCAGTACAGCCAGCATTTGCTTTAGTGGTATACCCAGCACTAGCACTAGTTTTGGTGGTGCAGCCAGTACCAGCTCTAGTTTCAACAGTGAAGCCTGCATTAGCTTTAGTGGCATACCTTGTACCAGTGCCACCTTTGGTGGTGGGGTCAGCTCTAGTTTCAGTGTCTCACTTAGCACCAGTCCCAGTTTCAGTGGTGAAGCCAGCTCTGGCTTTGGAGGCGCACTCAGCACCACCACTGGCTTCAATGGTGCACTTACTACCAGTAGCAGATTTGGCAGTATGCCCAGAACCAGTTCAGTCTTTAGTGGTGCACTTAGCATCAGGACTGTATTTGGGGCACACTGAGCACTAGTGTCTGCTTTGGTTTCTCTCCCAGCTCTGGTGCCAGCTTTGGTGGCACACTTAATACCAGTTTCTGCTTTAGTGGCTCTCCTAGCACCACCACTGGTTTTGATGGAGTACTCAGCACCAGTGTCTCCTTTGGTGGCTCTTCCAGCACCAGCACTGACTTTGGTGGTACACTAAGCACCAGCATCTGCTTTGGTGGCTCTTCCAGCACTGGTGCCAGCTTTGGTGGTGCATTCAGCACCAGTGCTGGTTTTAGCAGTGCTGTCAGCACTAGTGCTAGCTTTAGCAGTGCACCCAGCACTATCTCTGGCTTTGGCAGTATGTTCAGCACCAATGCTGACTTCAGTGGGGCGCTTAGCACCACTACTGACTCTGGCATTGCTCCCAGTACCAGCATTGGCTTTGGTGGAATTCCCAGCACCAGCCTCTGCTTTGGCAGTATGTCTAACACCAACCTATGCTTTGGTGGCCCTCCTAGCACTAGCACCTGCTTTAGTGGTGCTACCAGTGCTAGTTTTGGTGATGGATCCAGTACCGCTGCTGGTTTCATCTTTGGCAATGGGTTAAGCACCAATGCTGGATTTCGTGGTGGGCTGAGCACCAGTGCTGGCTTTCGTAGTGGACTAGGCACCAGTGCTATCTTCAGTAGTGAACTGAACACCGGTGCTGGCTTTGGTAGTGGACTGATCACAAACGATAGCTTTGGTGATGGACTGGGCACCAATGCTGGTTTTAGCAGCACACTTGGCACAAGTGCTGGCTTTAGTGGTGGCCTCAGCATCAGTGATGGTTTTGGTGCTGGCCCTAATAACAGCTTCAACAGAGGACCAAGTACCATCATTGGCTTTGGCAGTGGTTCCAACACCAGCACTGGCTTAATTGGTGAACCCTACACCAGCACCAGCTTCAATTGTGGACCCAGTTCTATCACTGGCTTCAGCAGTGGACCAAGCACAGGTGTTGGCTTCAGCAGTGGACCAAGGAGTAGTGCTGGCTTTGGCGGTGGACTGAGAAATGGTGCTGGCTTTAGTGGTGGAGCCACCAGACTTGGTGCCTGTAGCTTCTCCTATGGCTAGTGAGGTTTCAGGTAATTACAACATTTGCTCAGCCATGGCCCATGGGGATGGGTATAAGAACTGGGAAATGTTATAAGAAACCCCAAAGGGGGAGGTTTGGGTAGGGGGATGAGGACAATGAAGGAAGTATGAGGAAACAGTATATTTGGTGCTAAAATGTGTTCCTGTTTGGTGTTGCTTTTAGCTTTATTTCCCAGGTTTGCAGATACAGCTAATGAATTCCAGCAGTTCTTTCCAAGGAGCCAAGGTACATCCTTGGGATCTTTGTCCACACAGCAGTATAAACAGACATTATCAATCAGCTGAGGATGACACACTATGAAAAATCTGTTTGCAGATCCTGCTTTATTGTTTGCTTATTGTGTGTTATCATATTTTGGTATCAGAGTTACATTAAATTTGCAAAATGAATTGGAGTTTTTTATGTTTTTTAATGTGCTTGTTGTAATATTTCAGGTTCCTAGAAGAACTAGAGATCAGTGTAGCTCTTCAGAGAAGGGGGGCTGCAGCTTTAGGCTAAAACAAAAATATTATTTCAATGGGATAGAGACCTGGAGAAAGTATAGCAGACAAAGGGATTATAGCTTGAATGAAGATATAGAGGGAAAGCCTGGACTAGAAGGAAGAGGGAGAGGGTTTTGGACAGTAAATATAGATCCATTTTGAGACATTTGTATAAGAATAGAGAGATAGGCTGTATAAGAATAGAGGTAGACACAGGAACAAGGGAGGGTTTTCTTGAGATAGGAAAGAGAGATCTGAACATGTTGCAGAGTGTAGGGGCAAAAGCCAGTAAAGGAGATAGATATTCTATAATAGTCAAGAATGGACTGAAGTAGCCCATGCCTGAGAAGGTGGGATGGGATAGAGTGCCAGGGAATAGAGGGTGACCCTGACTTTGAATAGGATTTAAGGGTGGCTGTGGAAGCAGATAAATGTAGGTTTGTTTCAAACAGCACATCTTCCCAAAAAAGGTGATATGAAAAAGGTGATACAAGGTTTGGGGCTTGCTGGTGGCTATGATGGAAGAACAAAGGAATCAAGGCAGTGAGTACATGAGTCTGTCTCTTTATCCCTGGGTTGCTGATACCTAGGTGCATGGAGAGTGGCTAAAGAAATGGAACATAGGATTCAAGCTGTCTAGGGATGGAGGAACAATGAGGAGGAAAAGATGATAGATTGGAAGAAAATTGAGGAATCAAAGGATTATACTCTTGATGCAGTACAAGAACAAATCTTGTTCATTCAGGAAATACCATACACATGCCTACTATGTGGGAGGAATGTTTCTAGGGATCCTGCAGATGACACAGAGAGTTGTAAGGACTGGGGGCCAGTGGTCAGATAGTGAGATCCTTGTATTTAAGAAGTCATACTGGGACTGGGGTGTCTAGATGGTCTATAGAGTAGATGGCTAAGGGGGAAATGATCATTGTTTTGAGGGGTCAGGGGACTTGGAGGGCAGATTATTATTTGGATCATTTGTATGGACAGTGAAATCATTCAGGATGACAGCAGGAGTTGGAGAAGAGAGGAACACTGTGGTCTAGGTACAAATTCTTCTGAGTGTAGGAATGAAGGTGTCAGGTCCTCAGCTATGCTGCCCACGAAGAAATGAGGCCATAGGTCCTCACAGAGACATATCTCCTCCCTCACTTTTAGAGTTGCTACACCAGAACCCTTCCCTCCAGTAAGCCCTCATCCATTCCACACCCCACAACACCAGAGGCACTTCACAAGGTTGGGATCTTAAGAAGATCTTGTGGGGGAAACCTCACAATGCCTTCCTCTCCTCTTTGTAAGCAGCAAGAGAAGTCTTTATTATTAATAAGGATTTATTAACTTAGAAAAAGTTTCATTCAGAGCTAGACACCTCCTTGGTTGTAGCTAGAAATAAAGATGTGTTTCGAAGCTGCTGAGGGCTTCTTCACTGGAAGCAAGGCTCTTTCAGTAAGGCCAAGTCCAGGGTCTTAAGGTAAAGGAAGTACAAGGATAGCAGCTCTTAAAGGTGTGAGACAATGAGAGCAAAGGCAGTTTCACTTCTTGGAAAGGGCTCAATAGTGGGCAGGGACAGTGTCCAGGGCTTCTTCAGGTTCTCGGGTGATGTCCACATTCTGAGAGGAGAGAGCCCAGGATTAATAGGAAGGAGCCAGCACTGTAGAGCCCCAGCCCCTTCCCTGCCTCTTGTTCTCACTGCCAGGCTCTCCTCCTTCAGCCAGGCCTTGATCCTTACACTTTTCTCAGACAAGCCTCTGGGGAATCTCAACTTGAAGACTTTCGGGTAGGCATTGCTGTAGCCCTGCATCTCAATGGCACCTCAGGCCTGGGCCACAGTTCCTGCAATTTTTGGTGCTGGTTATTCTACCTGTTGGTATGAGACACTCAAGCTCTGTGGGATTGGGCCAGCCTTTCTGTGCAGGTGGGTGCTTTCACCATGTGCCAACTTAGGCCACAGAGCCCCTCACCTACCTCAGGTTTCTCCCGGTGCGTGTTTACGGCTTCCACGTTCAGGTAGATGGACTCCACTTTGCAGCCTCAGAAAAGAACAGCCAGTCCATCCATAAGCCCCCAAGGTAAGCACAAATCTTCCCCAAGGTGTCATTCACTCCCTCACCTATCACTACCTATACCCCCAGCTCCACACCATGTAGATTGTGACTGCTCTGCAGGAAAGGGAATGTAGATCTGCTGAGTGATGTATGGGGAAGACACCAGATCTAAGAGAAGCCAGTGAGGTATCTTCTCAGCTGCCCCTAATAGTCTCAGAGTTCTCTGAGCCTTAGTTGCTCAAATGGGAATAGGAAGGAGATGAGAATAGATGATCTCTAAGGACTCCCCCCAAGTCTTGTGCTCTGTGAGACAGCAATCTAATGTATATAATAGTGGTAGAGCCCTATAGATCTTCTAAGCTGTGTTAAGTGCTGAAGTGGTGGAAAAGCCTTGGAGCTACTGCCTTGGGACAATGAGTCCCAGGTAAAATTTATTTAGAGGACAGGGATGCCTGGGTGGCTCAGTGGTTGAGCCTTTGCCTTCGTCTCAGGGCATGATCCTGGGTCTGGGGATGGAGTCCAGCATTGGGCTTCCTGCAAGGAGCCTGCTTCTTCCTCTGACTGTGTCTCTGCCTCTCTCTCTGTCTCATGAATAAATAAATAAAATCTTAAAAAAACTTATTTAGAGGACAAAATGGTTATGGCATCAACAGAGGTCTGGAAGTTCACAAGGGAGTTCTGGGAGCCTGAAGATAAAGGAGAATGGTATCACTGGGGCCCAGGGCTGGCGGAGGAAGCCCAATGCCTATGGAAGTCCCCCTTAGCTCCAGCCCTGTGGACTGCAACCTACTCTGGGCTTCAGCACACTGTCTTTCCTATTCATACTTTAGAAGATATTTGAGTCTGTCTCTTCCCTGCTTATGAATATTTCATAGCAAACTAAGAGTTTCATAGAAAACTCTTCTTTTTCCCAAGAAAGAGTCTAAACTGACCAGACCAATCTTTGAGCTCTTTCTTTGATCTGGCCCTGACCTACACTAGTTCCTCTGGTCCCCTTCATGTACCTTCTCTTTTACAGCTTAGTGTTCCATGCTTGGTGCTTTGATAGAGCCAAAGAAAGTTGAGGGCAGCTCCTGGATTTAGAGGCCATCCTAGTTCTTCCCTGTTTTCATCCTATTATTGCCAATTCTTATTTCACCAGGACTTACAATTATCCACCCCAGAAACTACCCCCATTACTCTCTTGGGCAAACGGTATACACTGGAAGCATGCTCATGCCTTCTATGTGTCTTTCCACAGATGAGGGTGGAGGCACTCACCATAAGCCACAGGTGTGAGTTTAAGCACTGTGTGCAAAGGACACTTGAGATATGGCAGCTCATCTGGAAAGGAGGATAAAGTAGCCATTAGAGAAAGGGTACTGGGGAGGGTACCATTCCTCAGGCCTCCTCTGCCATACCCCTTTCCTTATGGTCAGCTTCATTAGGGTTACACTCCCCCACTCTGTGAGCAGTGCTGAGAGCAGGGTGGGTAGTAAGGAAGAATACAGAAGGGTGTCCTCTAGAGCAGAAAGGAAGGAGGACCTTGGGGAACGTGGAAAGACTGTGAGTTCCCCAGGAGGGACAGGATGGTCATCTGGGATGTGGCCTATCTCTTCACTCACAGGGCAAACATGAAACCAAGGTAGACCTTCCTCCTGCCCTCAGCCTCAGGCCTTCCACAGGCTCTTTTAGTAAGAAGGCCCACAGCTTTGTCTTGGCAAGTATTTTCTGAGACCTTGCTATGTACCAGGGCCCTTGAATGTACATGTACCTTGGCAGCTCCCACAATTTTCTCTCCAGCCCAGGCCTGCATTCTCTGACTCCTCTCACACTTGTCAATAGGCATTTCTCTATTCACTTGTTTCCAGTTGTTGACTGTTTATTATTCATAAAGTTGTTTTGAATATTCACATACCATTTATTAAATGAGCCTAGGTTTTCATTTATTAGACATCTCTGAGAGGAAGAAATGATCAGGCCCATTCCATGGATGAAGAACTAAGGCTCTGAGCGGACACTTATCCCATGTCACAGTCAGGAAGCAGCAGCACTGGGACTTGAACCTAAGACCCTCTGAGGCTAAATGCATGCTCTGCCCCCTGCAGCCAGCTGCCACTGCCTTGGAGGGGCTCATAGGGTTGTGGGAGTGACACTCCCAGCTCTCACTACTCTCCAACAACAGCCCTCTCACCCACCCAGAGTGCCCTTACCACTTCCCATCTTCCTTCAATGAGCCAGAACCAAACTTCACATGGCTTCCCTGCCCTCAAGGTTCATCCTGGGCTTTTAAGGCTGCCACTACACTCCTGGCTTCCTGAGACATCAGGTTTGGCGATATCCTGGGCATCCATACTGCTCCTCCTCCTCATCTTTGTCATCATAATTGTCAGGCCCTGGGGGCCCAGTGCTTTGGGTACAAGATCTCATTCTATCTTTGCCAATACTCTACAGGGGTTACTGATCCACATGGCGCACATAACAAAATGGACTCAGAGAAGGCAAGTGACTTGCCTGAGGTCTCTGACTTAGCTCTGCCACCACCTGGACAAGTAACCTTGGCCCAGCCTTTTCTTTCTCTGGACCTCAGAGTTCCTACCTCTCCCAGCACAAAATTGGGTTAGATGTACTCTGCGGGTGCCCCAGCTCTGAGGTCCTATAGGTCTGCTTTCCCTGTCACATCATCTCTCTGGGATCCAAGTGTTTCCTCACTGACTAATAGGGGTAAAAGCATGTACCCAGCACTCCCTGGGCCAGCTCTCAGGGCAACTTGGAGCAGCTGGTGTGACCTGTGCATGAATAATCAGGAAGTGTTTAAAGCGGTGTGAGAATAACAGGTACATGTGCTCTTCCTTCAATCTACGCATATCCGTGAGGGAGGTCCTCTGGAAAGTACCTGAGATTGACACCCCTCCCTTATTCCCTGAGCCCTGTAACCTTGGGCAAGTTCCTTCATCTCTCAGAGCCTCCATTTCCTTATCTGCACAGTCGGGGTTACAGTGCTTGCCTCACAGTCTCAAAGATAGTACTGAGCAATAGATATGGGAAGTTATCAGAAATTTAGTAGCACAAGAACCCTCACCCCAAACCCATCACCTTTTCCAGTGAGGAGATTGAGGACCAGGCAAAAGAAATGACTTGTCCAATGTCAAGTTCTCAAGTTCCCTGGGTTTCAATTTGGATGACTCCATATCCAAATACTCTTTATTTGGAAACTAGCATAGTACAGAAGATTCAAGTCTGCAGGACATTGCACAATATAACTTTCAAATATAAATTTGCAAGGTCCATACATACCCTCACAGTATCCTGGAGATGCCAATACTTCAGCATCCACATCAGAAATGAACTATCATGCCAAAGAGTGACATAACAGTCCTTTGCCAGGTTCCCTGCCCTAGGTTGCAGTTCAGTATATGTTGTCAGCCTATAGATACTTTGTAAACTACAATATCTAGATATCTTTTAAGAAAGAAATCATCATTTAAAAAATAAAATTAAAATATCACTATCTTGGGAGAAATCATCGCAAAGACAGAAGCCTATAATCAGGGTCAGGAGGCAACAAAAGGTCCCATTACCACCTGATGACAGCATGTTTCAGAAAAGTACCTTCAGCCTTTTCAGGTTGATACATACTGTTAAGGCTAGCTTTGAAAACATTAACTCAGAATAATACTAATATTAGTAACAGCAACTAACACCTATATAGCTCATACTGTATGTCATGAACTGTCCTAAGCTCTTTACATATGTTAATTTATTTAAACATCATTATTGTTCTCCCCATTTTACAGATGAGGAAATTGAGGCCAGAGAGGCTTAAGTAATTTGCCAAAGCTTGTATGTGACAGAGCAAGAATTTGAACTCAAGAATTTTTGTTCTAGATGCTGTGCTCTTAGCTACCAAGATATAAACTACAGACAGCTGGTGTCAGGATCCCAAATCTTATCCAGCTTCCTGTGTCAGGAACAGAGAGGAGTGTGGTACCTGAGCTCTTATCCAGGAAGTAGGCAAGGAGGCATCGCATGACAGCCTGGTGGCAGATCACCAGTACATTTTCCTGCCGTTCTAGCTCCATTATAACTGGCTCCAGACGCTGAACCAGATCTTCATAGGACTAAGAATGACAGAAATTTGGGGTAAAAAAAGGTAGATGAGGAGATTTGCTCAGAGAACAACTCAGGACTAGGAATCAGGAAAAGTTGGTTCCGGCACAGCTGTTTTTGACCCAGTAGTATGATGTTAAGTCATGCAATTCATTTTTAGTGTCTTAGTTTCTCATCTACTAAATGGGAGCATTCAATACAGTGGACTAAATAACAACAATAATAAAACTTCTCAATATAAAATTCCTAGAAAAGCTAGATAAAATAAATGTTTGGCCTGCCGTACTCTCAAAAAAATAAAGGCAACATGAATGTAGGGTTCCAAAATGGAGAAAAACTTGGAATAAAAATAAAGATAGAGAGAGGTAAGTGGATGTTGCCTTGGGGGGCATTTATCAATCACAGTAAATGAGAGGCTTGAGATTTTAAAACCTTATAGAGATAGAAAGCAATACCTTAGATGTTTGCAAGGTGGAGAATAGGGACTGAACTTTTCACACAAATCTGAGACCCTCAAAGGGCTACATCCTTAGTAGAAGTGTAAACTAGAAGAAATATATATCCACAGGCAAAAGGAAACAATGACATTTATCTGCCTCTCAGTGGAAAAATAGGAAAATCTTCCTATAATAATACATTAACCACAAGCCTACCATCAGGTGGGTTTGTGGTTCAGATTTACAATATTCATGTGTTTTAGAAAATGCTAAGATGAGGGTTTAATAAAAAGCAATTTTAAGTCATTAGTTACCAGAAGTGTCTGGAAGAAGCAAAGGGAAATTATCTCTGGATCCTCTCAACTTAGTCTGTGCAGAATTCTTATATACAAAATTTACCAAACTGTAGCTCACATAACATGCAAGGGAAATAAGCTATCACAAGTGAAAATAAACAGAAACAATGAGAGGAGAACCTTAAAAACTTAAGATAAAGGATCCACAATATAAAATAAATATGTTTGAAATTTATAAAGAAATAAAAGATGGAATAAAAATCTGAGGAATAAGTAAAATGCTATTAAATATATGTTGTAGATTTGAAATAAAAGTAATAGAATTTGTATAAATGAAAAATACATTTATTAAAATTGAAAACTAAATGGATTGAGTAAACAAAAGTTTAGATACAACTTAGGAAATAGTGATTTGGAAGATAGAGCTGAAGAAATTACTCAGAAGGCAGCAAAGACATAAAAAATAAGAAGTTAGGAAACATGAAAAAAGGATAAAGACAGAATGTCTGAGGGTTTCTAGAATTGTGGAAGAATCCCAATTCTCAAATTTAGGAAGTCTAACTAATCATAAGCAAAATAAATGAAAAAAATGTTCAGATATATCTGGGTGGAACATAAAAGCAATGAAGATAAAAGATCTTAATAGCAGTCTTAGGGAAGGTAAACAACAATTAGACTGACTATAGACTTCTTAGTCACATTAGAAGCCAGACGGCAATGATGGTGGGGGAGGAGTTAAGATGGTGGTGAAGTACAGGGATCATGGGCTTTCCTCATTCCTTGAACACAGATTTATGGAGGTCAGATCCCTTGGGACACCCAAGGAACTGATCTGAGTATTGGAAGAAAGATTTCTACAGTTGGAGGGAGATAGTATGACAGGTTTATTTCAACAACAACAACAACAACACAAATCAAAGCATACCTAAAGGTTCAAATGTTCCCCACTGCAAACAAGGAGGAACTCTGCAGAGGACTGACCAGCAGGAAAGGACAGCCAAAACATCAGAGTGCACACAGCATGTATCAGAAACACATTCTGAAGTGCAAAGCCCTGGACATTGTATGACTGCTTTTTAAATATAGCATTACTCTCAGGTGCAGGAAACAAAACAAGCTTTCATAACACGCAAAAGACAGAAATGTAACCAAAATGACAAGATGGAGGAGCTTTCCTCAAAACAAAGTTCAAGAAGAAATTACAGTCAGGGACTTACTAAAAACAGATGTAGGCAATATATCTGAACAAGAATTTAGAACGCTCATGCTCATAATATTACTAGCTGGGCTTGACAAAAAAGCATAGAAGACACAAGAGAAATCCTTGCTACAGAGACAAAGGACCTAAAAACTAGTCAAGCTGAAATGAAAAATGCTATAACTGAGATGCAAAACAGACTGGATATAATCACAAAGAGGATTGAAGAAGCAGAGGAAAGAATAGGTGATATAAAAGATACAATTATGGAAAATAATGAAGCTAAAAAAAGGCAAAGAAAACTAGCAGATCATAAAGATAGGGAACGCAGCATTTCCAAATAGCACAAGAATATTTGTATCATAGGAGTCCCAGAAGAAGAAGAGTGGGAAAAGGGTGCAAAAGGTTAATTTGAACAAATTATAGCTGAGAACTTCCTTAATCTGGGGGAAGGAAACAAGCACTTGAGCGCAAGAGGCACAGAGAACTCCCCTCAAAATCAACAAAAACAGGTTGACACCATGACATATTATAGTGAAACTTACAAAATACAAAGACAGATAATTCTGAAAGCAGTAAGGGGCAAAAGGTCCTTAATCTACAAGGGTAAACATATAAGGTTACCAACAGAGTTGTCCATGGAGACCTGGCAGACCAGAAAGCAGTGGAAGGAAATATTCAACGTGCTAAGTGGGTAAAATATGCAGCTAAGAATACTTAATCCAGCAAGATTATAATTCAGAATAAAAGAAGAGTTAAAGAGGTTCTAAGACAAGTGGGGACTGGGTGGCTCAGTCAGTTAAGAGTCCAACTCTTGGTTTTGGCTTAGGTCATGGCTCATAGGTTGTGAGACTGACCGGCAAGTCAGGCTCCAAGATAAGTGGGAAGTCTGCTTGAAGATTCTCTCCCTATGCCCCTTCCCTGACTTGCTCAACTCTCTCTCTAAACACTAAAACTAAATCAGCCCTGCAACAAATATTAAAAGGGATAGTTTGAGTGGGGAGAGAGCCCTAAAGTAACAAAGAACACAAAGGAACAGAGATAACTATAGAAATAGCAATTTTAAGATAATGCAATGGTGCTTAATTCATGTCTTTCAACAATTACTCTGAATGTAAATGCACTAAATACTCCAATCATAAGACATATGGTATAAGATATCAGAATAAATAAAAAAATAAGACCCACTGATATGCTGCCTACAAGAGACTCATTTTAGAACCAAAGACACCTTCAGCTTGAAAGTGAGGGTGTAGAGAACCATTTATCATGGTAATGGACATCAAAGGAAAGTTGGAGGAGCCATCCTTATATCAGACAAACTAGATTTTAAATGAAGGACTATAATAAGAGATAAAGAAGGGCATTGTATCATAATAAACGGGTCTATCCAACAATAAGATCTAACAATTATAAATATTTATGCCCCTAACTTGGGAGCAGCCAAATATATAAATGAGTTAATAACAAAATTTTTAAAAACCTCATTGATAATAATACAATAACAGTAGGGGATTTTAACACCCCACTCTCAACAATGGAAAGATCATCTGAACAGAGATCAACAAGGAAACAAGGGATATGAATGGCACAGTGGACCAGATGGACTTCACAGATATATTGATAGTATTTAACTCTAAAACAGCAGAATACATATTCCGTTCAAGTGCACGTGGAACATTCTTGAGAATAGACCTCATACTGGGAAACAAATCAGGCCTCAACTGGTACAAAAATTTTGAGATAATACCATGTATATTTTCAGACCACAATGCTATGAAGCCTAAAGTCAATAACATGAAAAAAATTTGAAAGGGCCACAAATACAGGGAGGCTAAGAACATCCTACTATAGAATGAATGAGTTACCAGGAAAGTAAAGAGGAATTTAAAAAAAATACATGTATACAATGGAATATTACTCAGCCATTAGAAATGACAAATACCCACCATTTGCTTCAACGTGGATGGAACTGGAGGGTATTATGCTGAGTGAAATAAGTCAATAGGAGAAGGACAAACATTATATGGTCTCATTCATTTGGGGAATATAAATAATAGTGAAAGGGAATAGAAGGGACGAGAGAAGAAATGGGTAGGAAATATCAGAAAGGGAGACAGAACATGAAGACTCCTAACTCTGGGAAATGAACTAGGGGTGGTGGAAGAGGAGGAGGGCGGGGGTGGGGGTGAATGGGTGATGGGCACTGAGGGGGGCACTTGACGGGATGAGCACTGGGTGTTATTCTATATGTTGGCAAATTGAACACCAATAAAAAATAAATTTATAAAAAATAAAAAATAAAAATAAATGAAAACAAAAAAATACATGTAAGCAAAAGAAAATGAAAACACCAGGGGAATTCTACCAAACGTTTAAAGAAGAAATAATAACTATTCTACTGAAGCTGTTTCAAAGGATAGAATTGAACAAAAACTTCTAAACTCCTTCAATGAGGCCAGTATTACCTTGACCCTAAAACAAGACAAAGACCTGATCAAAAAGAATTACAGATCAATATTCCTGATGAACATGGATATCAAAATACTCACTAAGAATATTTACTACGACCAAGTGGGATGTATTCCTGGGATGCAAGTGTGGCTCAACACTGACAAATCAATCATTGTGATAGATCACATTAAAGAAAGAAAAGACAAGAACCATGTGACCCTCTCAATTGATGCAGGAAAAGTATTTGACAAAATACCGCATCTTTTCTTCATTAAAACTCTTCAAAGGGATCCCTGGGTGGCGCAGCGGTTTGGCGCCTGCCTTTGGCCCAGGGCGCGATCCTGGAGACCCAGGATCGAATCCCACATCGGGCTCCCGGTGCATGGAGCCTGCTTCTCCCTCTGCCTGTGTCTCTGCCTCTCTCTCTTTCTCTCTCTGTGACTATCATAAATAAATAAAAAAATAAAAAAAAATAAAAAAATAAAAAAAAAACTCTTCAAAGTGTAGGGATAGAAAAAACATACCTCAATATCATAAAAGCCATCTACAAAAAGCCCATAGCAAAAATAATTCTCAATGGGGAAAAACTGAGAGTTTTTTCCCTAAGGTCAGGAACACGACAGGGA